AGCTCTCTTGTAGTTGGAATATGATAGCATTGCCAAAATCTAAGATGAGGGCGGATTTCTTTTGATAATTGTAAACTGTTGCCACAAAAACTTATCTTGCAACACTGGTTTTGTGTGCTAGCATTCATGTTTTGCTCAACTTTCTTACCTGATGGGCGACAAAACATGTGTACCACATCAAGTAAATGGTCGAATGGTTCTGTTATAACTTGAATTTCTGATTTGGGTATAAATTTCACCTTTGGAAATGTATCAAGTAAGGTGTATCTCACCATATACAAGAAGTTCTCTTCATTAGGACGTGGTGACATGTAATAAAGTATGAGAAGCACAAAGAAAGGGAATTGGTTTTCTAGTAACAAAATGTCTCTACTTACTTGATTCTTCATCCATTTCAATTTGATGATGTCGTCTTCTTTTTCCACTTTTTCATAGTCCTCTCGAATAAATTCAACCACAAAACAACCATCAAGCAACAACATTTCTGAAAATTCCTTAACAATATCAGTGTCAAGGTCGTCGTTATAGCACTTTAGTGCTATATTTTTTATTTTCTCCAATTCACTGATGCAACTTTCCACATTAAGCCCATTTTTCCTCTGGAGATACCGTCGTAGGTGCAACAATTTGTACTTTTTCATGGAGTCAAGTTGAGAATTTTTCTTGTGGTAAGGACCAATGGAGATCAGCATTGGCGTATAAGCATTTTCATTTGATTTCCGTAGCCCCACATTTACTTTGAATATGATCGCAGATTTGATGCATGTATTGTTGTCCAAATCCTTAAATATTTCATCATATCTTTGATTTATAGATATCACTACATTTTGATCTTGATGATCTGCTTTCCTCCCTTCATCTATCTGTAATTACTGGAAAAGAATCATAACAATGACCAGACAAAACAAAATGTAAAAATTTCAGTTTGTTTAGTGTGGACGAAAATATTATTTTCAATATTTATTTGGCTAAAATGTGTCCTAATAACCATTTTCTGTAGGAAATAAATTATATATGGTCCTTAAATTTTCATGAAAATCATAAGTGACACTCTGCGCTAATTGACTTCTTTCCAACACTTCCCCCCCCTCCCGCGCTATCAGCCCAATCCTATATTTTTTTTTCTTAGATTCTATAGCTCTTGGGACAGTGATTTCTATTTACATAATTATAAATACTTAAAAATAAATCTGAAAATTTAACTTTTTCTTTTCTAGTAAAGACTTAAGTTTTTCGAGTGAACAAAAGGAAATTTCTGAGGTGAATTCCCATAAACGAGTGAAATACAAGATTCTATACACATATTTATCATTTAGTGTTGATTCAAAATATGGTATGTTATGCATTTTTACTTTGACATACAACGGGTATATATACAATTTTCTTAACAAGTAATATATATATATTCTAAACCGCAAGGTTAAGAGGTGTATATATATATATATATATTTGTCTTTCCCCCCTTTTGTTTACATTCGACTACACTCCAACGGATCTTATGTTACATATGAAAAAAATTGCTATGATAGTGTTATATGATAAAATTATTTGTCTTTAGCTCAGTATAACACTTAAACATATTCAATTTCCATCTAGACACCTCAACTTAACTCTGATGTGTCTCATGACACTCCGGTCCAACACACCTCATGCGTGAATTCCAATCGCTGCCGATGTGCCAAATGGACCAATTAACGAATGACCAAAAAATATATGAAAGGAGAAGTAGCCTAAGAAATTTTACAATCTCTTGAAATTCATCCACATAGAAAATCATAGGGTACACCAAATTAAATTATATATTTAATTGTCAAAATTAAAGAAAAGTGAACTAATGAAATCAAAAACAAATTTATATAGTTGAGAGAGACCTCATCTTTTTCAGTTTGAGAATGTAGTGAAAGTTGGTCATTAGTTGGGGTAATCTCACTGGTTGAGTGTTCCATTCCTCTTTCTTCAAATGTAATTCCTAAAAAAAAAAACTTTGTTTCCTTTTAATTTCAATTCATATTATTATTAATCCAAAGCAATATATTCATTGCAGAATTAGATTTGAAAAGAAAAGACAAGCCAATAAAAGGGAAATTATGCAACATCAACTCTCATTATAAGAGTCTACATGTCCAAATCCAAAATGAAAGAGCATAGCTTTTAGATGAGGCCAAGTTAAAGAACATAATTATGTATTATGCCCTTAGAAAACACTTCTAATATTCTCCTTTTTTATTTGTTTGTTTTACTCTTTCTTTTTAGTTCATTTTAAGAAGAACGTTTCTTTCATTTTTTGGTGATTCTTTAGTTCTAATTTTTCACATGATATGTTTACAATCAAAAAGTTAACGGGCACTATGATATATTTTACGCATTTTTAATTTAAGACTATAAGATTCAAAAGGCTCTTTACTTTCTTAACCTCTACATCAAGTCAAAAATCACACAACCACTTTGAAACATACACTACTAAAAATTAAGTATTTTTCCATTGAAAAATGTTCGGTGACTATTTTCACAAATATTTTAATTCTATCAATGAAGAAAACAACTAATAGTAATTTCACACATGTTAGTGTTTTAGTGAGAATCTAGTTCGTTAAAAACTGAGTGGGAAAATCTTACTTTGGTAGAGATGTTGTGGGACTCTCTGAAGCATGTACGTTGTTATAAACAAAAATAAATAAAGGAAAAAAAGACAGAAGGTGATTTAAATTTGAAACAACAGAAACAAAAACAATTGTGTTTTTTCATATTTTTATTCACTTTTCCCTTTACACTATAAAATATTATGTAAATCATGGCATTCAAATTGAGGTGTAGCAAAGAATAAAGAGTAATAGTTTAGTATGGAACAAGAATATTTAGAAAAAGAAATACCTCTTTGCTTTGGCTGTTTCTTTTTTATTTATTTGTTTCTTTTTTTGGTTTGTTGTTTCTATACGACAGGTCACCTGTAAATTTATAAGAGAAAATGTGATCAAATATTCATATATAATATAATGTAATATAATTTAATATGTGGTCTTGTTTTGGTCTTTCAACACACAAAATATTGTTGTCCACTGATGGAAAGATAAGGAGAAGTCTGCTGACTCAACAAGTCAATTATTTTGATAGTTTAGAATTCTATAGCAAATATATGTGCATATACTTATTTTTGTGTGGATATATTGCTAAAATTAAAGATCCTAGCTAATTACATTTTCTTATAATCTATCATTTAATGGGGTTAACATAAAATTTTTGTTGTTTATCTATAAAATTTTGTTTCGCTAATTCATTGTTTTCTACACTATGTATTTCATTATTATTATTATTATTATTATTATACAAGGGATATAATATATTCCGTTGTTGAGATGTTGTATGTGTTAATAGTTAATATACTTGAGAGAACGTGAATATAATGTATTTCACTACTCCCTTTGTCCCATTTTATGTGAGACAGTTTGACTCACGGAGTTTAAGAAAGAAAGAAAGACTTTTAAAACTTGTGGTCCAAAATGAATGATAAAAATTTGTGTGGTTATAAATCATTTCATTAAGGGTAAAATAGACATTTATAGTTAATTAAATTGTTACTTAATATAGAAATGTGTCATTCTTTTTTGGACTGACTAAAAAGGAAAATAAGTTGATACAGAGAGGGTATTATTATTCTCAAATACATTTATTATTCGCGTGAATACAATATGTTCTACTATTATATGGAAAGTTTTCTCTTTAGTTTTACTCGAACTTTTAAAAAGTAGTTTACATCACAGAGCAAATCAGCCAACTCAAAAGTTGAAAACACCACATGTGAACACAAATCTTGATAACAATTTTTTTTTTTGTCTTCTTTTGTTGTTAATGGAATTTGAAGTTTGACATAAATAAATTATTAGAAAAGAGAGATTGAACATGCACTGCTTCTCCCAATAGAAATATATATAGTTCTATTACCTTGGTGAACAAAAAATATCCCTATAGTATGTCATATCAAGGGTTCGCTTGGGACCAACAATGGTTCTGAGTGTTGATCACGTTCAGAGTGTAGGCTCTCGGGCATGACAATTTCGCCTTGGTTAATATTTTGTGATTGGAAACCAAATACTCCTTGAACAAACTTTTCACATGTTTTTGGCATAATACTGATGGCTTTCTACAGTGAGAGATCAATAAAGCACTATAAGGTACCCCTCTGCTCTATTTTTCTTTCAACTCTAATTTTCTAAAAAATAGGAAAAAGCCATCAAAGAAGTATATCCAAGTTTTTGGAAGCCAAATGGTCTTGGATGGTAGGGGAATATATTTTTTCCCTTTACATAGAATTAACTATAAAGATCATCTACGCCTAACTCAACATTAAAAGCTAGCTTTTAAGGGGAGGATTGCCCAAGTCCATATAAACAGACCGACATTCAATTCCCCAACCAATATGAGACTTTTACACACTCTATCATTTCCTTCATGCCCAAGCCCAACTGAAGCGTGGACTGGAAGCCCAAAAATCACCCCAGAAGCCAATCAGCTTGCCATTGAACAACCAAGGAATCTCTCTGTAAAAGATAATAACTTTTTCAATTCAGAATATTTATTGGAAATTAACAGTCACCCTACCTCATACAAAGTAGGATATTGTCTGCGTACACCCAGCCTTCTCAGGCCCTATAAATAGAATCACACTGAGTATGTTATTGTTGTTGTAATTCAAAAATCGATCAATTCAATTTCACCATTGGTAGCATAGAATGAATAAATGATATCACACTCATAAGTTATAAAGAGTCTTATGTAATAGTTGTATATCTTGAGATGCCTGCGTTGCGACCGATAATATATATTAAATTTATCGGTTCATTTGTTTTTTATATATAGATACTTGAAATAAACTAATTAATATTCAACTATAAAATCCAATACAAAAAGATTTAATGAAAAACTAATAAGCTCATCAACACACATGCAAATTCCATACATGAAGTTGTGAGGAACACTACAATTGAATTAAAAACTATACGTACTTATTTCAAAGCACATGTGAAAGCTAGAATAGTTTGTATAGTTGTGAGTAGGAGGAGTATGATGGCTCCCACTGTTGAAGCGCCTGCCCAAGGACTACTAAAATAATTGTGCATCAAATTTGCCTTCATTCTGTTCCATGGTTTTTCACTATATTCAATTGCTTTTATGCATTCTTCATGGTAATAGAAGTTGTCGGGATCAACACCGACCCCACTTCCAATTTTGTTGAAGAGGCTAGCCACGTCCTTGTTCTCTCCCATCCAACTCTCTATGATTCCTTTTTGGCGAAGCAAATTCACATCTTTATCTGAGTCGATAAGATAATCTATAAAAGTTGCATAATCACTGAAATATTTTGGTTCTACATCACACGATTGTTGCTCATAAGCAATGAGATTTCGCAAGATGGTTTCTGTATCATCATCGACTTGAAAAGAAGGGATTGCCATAAATCCATTGTTGAACTTTATATCAAATAAACTTATGTCATCCTCAAGGTTGACTTCGCCCAATAAATATCCAACTTCAACGAAGCTAACTCCAGCTTCAGAAAGCTCTGTTGCATTTGGCATGACCTTATGCTTCGTTATGTCATTTTTTGAGTTTTTCAAGGGATTCAGGCCATGACATGAAAATATGTGTACAGCATGAAGTAAATGTTTGATATTTTCTGCATTACATATTGTCTCTCTGTAGGATGCACGAAACATTTTTGGCAAGTTACTATAAAAGATAAACGAATTATCATTCAATTGTATTGCCAATGGTAATTCATCAACTTGCTTTGTCATGTGATGAAGCTTGTTGAGGATAAAGAACGGAAGTTGATTTTCTAGTAACATCAAGTCTTGGAGTATTTGACTATATGCGCAACCATCAATATTATTGATGATGTTGTCTTCTCCTTGAGTACTACTCTCTCGAATAAACTCAACCACAAAACAACCATCAAGCAACAACATTTGCAAAAATTGACTATCATCACAGAGATCTTCTATATCATTATAACACTTGATTGTTTCCTTCTTTAGTGTCTCCAATTCATTGATGCAACTTTCCACATCAAGTCCCTCTTTTCGTTGAAGAAATCGTTGTAGGTATAATAGTTTGTACTTTTCCATTGGACGAAGTTGAGGATTTTTCTTATGGTAAGGACCGATAGAGATCATCTTTGGTGTATAAGCATCTGGATTTGATTCACGTAGACTCACATTTACTTTGAATATCGTACACGATGTAATTGACAAATTGTTCAAATCCTCAAACATTTCATCAAAGATTTGATTAATTACAGATTTCTTTGTTTGTGACCCTAATGGATCATGACCATTTGTTTCCTTTATCTCGATTATATGATCTACTTTCCTCCTTTCTTCTATCTGTAATGGAAAAGAGTGATGGTTAAAATTTTGCATAAAAGTTACCTTTCAAAGTTTTTCTTCATATGCTTAAAATTCTTAACTTTCAAAGTCTTTTGTCCCTCTCTCTATATATTCCGTTTGGCTGATGATATATATTTCCCCAAAATTTGGACAAAAGGAAAAAAAACAAGATAAAAAACTCTTGAAATGCACCGATTTGTAGGTGTAAAACTATGGTTAGTGAACATGTTAGGACAATGAGGTAGACCTAAAATTACGTTGAAGAAAATAATTTAAAAAATTCTATAATCTCTTGAAATTCGTGATAGTGAAAAATTAAGGTACAATTTTAATTATTTTTTTTGTATAGATGATATCATTTAATTGTTTATGTATTTTAATCAAATCGAAAAATAATTTTGTATAGTTGAGAGAGACCTTATTATTTTCAGTTTGAAGAAGCAGTGGAATTTGATTATCTACTGAGGTAATCTCAATGGAGTGTGCCATCCCTCTTTCTTCAACTCTAATTCCTACAAAAGAATGTCAAATTCATATTATTATTAATTCAAAGCAATTTATTCATTGCAGAAATTGATATGAAAAGAAAAGACAGCAATTAAAAGGGAAATTATATAACATCAACTCTCATGTTACTATACGAAAAGAACTTTACTATGTGTTGTCAAAACTTCTAGAAAAAATTAATAATTTGATCCAAGTAAAAATAAAAGATTCGGATGTCTCTTTCATTTTCTGGTAACTTGCTAATTTTAACTTTTCACATGATATGTTTACGATCAAAAGATTAAAGAACACTTTGGTACATATTATATATTTCAGTTTAAAATTATAAGATTCAAAACTCTTTTTACTTATTGTATCAAATCAAAAACGGACAAACGAAACAGAAACACTACTAAAAAGTCACTATTTTCCCATTGAAACTTTTTACTGCAAAATATTCAATGGTTATTCTCACAAATATTTTGAATGAATCAATGTGAAAAGAAAAAATAGTATTAATTTTTTTAACGCATAAAATTTAGAAATTTTGTCAAGATTTTAGTGAGAATTTGTTTCCTACCATATGTGTTTTTACAGTAAACTGGTTCATTGGAAAATAAGTGGAAAAAGTTTATGTTTTATAAAGCAAAATTCCCATTGATGTGCGGCAGAAAAAAGCTCTATTTTTAGCAAAATTAATAAAATGTTTTTCTTCCAAAAAAATAATATTCTCATTCACTTTTCCCTTTACACTAGAAAATATTATGTAAATCATGTTATTTAACTTGAGGTAGCAAAAGAATAAGAATAATTGTTTAGCATAGAACAAGAAAAATTAGAAAAAGAAATACCTCTTTGGTTTGGCTGTTTCTTTTTCTTTATTTTTCCCCTTTTATTGGTCTGTTGTTTCTAATCTACGAGACAGGTCACAAGTATATTTTTTTTATTTATAAGAGAATATTAGATCAAATATTATTCATGTATAATATAATAATATTTTAATATGTGGTCTTGTTTTGGTCTTTCAACACACAAAATATTGTTGGCCAATGATGGAAAGATAAGGATCGGAGACTTCTCTGCTGACTCAACAAGTCAATCATTATTTAGTTTTCAAAAAAAAATAATCGAAGTCTATAGTGTGAGAAATTGACATGTTTGTTGTACACATGGATAATAGAGAAGTACCCTAGACTATGACCGAAATCTCAGAGACGTAATATAACTTAATTAAGGTCTATCACCCCTGAAGCCTTTTTGTTTTTGTAATTTTGTACATTTTTTTAGTTTACGTGACATTCAGACATCTCTCACGCGTCTCAACTACATGGAGTCACAAAGTGTGTCACGTAAGTCAAAAGATATAAATAAAATTATCAAAAAAATGAGTTTAGGAGGCAACACGGCCTTAGTTTAATTAAGGTGTGTCTCTGAGATTTCGATTATAAATCTAGGGGTACTTTAACTTATCCCTTGTACTATAATATAAACATACATTTTTTAAATTTCTAGCCTTTATATTAGAGTTTTGGAAATTATTTCCTTGATATATTCCATATGCATTTTTTCTACATAAATACAGTGGACATGTCTCTTTTTAGGAAAAAATATGTGACACGGAAAATTAGGTATTATATTTATTTGAAATACCAATAGTTTAAAAGAATTACATAATTTAATGAGAGTTTGGAGTTCTATAGCAGATACATGTGAATATAGTTAGGCAAGATGTATATACGTGTTGATATATATTTTTTAAGCACATGAATACAATGAATTTCATTATTGTTATACATACAATTATAAGATATAATGTATTTACTACAAAGATATTATATTTATCATAATACACTTAAAGAACGCTTAATATAATATATTTTACTATTAATATGTACAAATACACTTATTATGTGCGCTAATTATCATTATATTTTGTAATTACATAAAATCTCACTATGATTGATATCCCAAATTTTCCCTTTTTTTTCATGGGTATGAATTTGGTATAAGAGGAAGACATATATTAGCAACTCATGTATTATGTGTATTAGTTTATGAATATTTGGAATATATGTGATCAAATTTGTTTGATCTCAAATTTTGTGGATTTATTGGTAAATACCTATTAAATGATACTCATATTTTATTAAATGAAACACATTATTATTTTTAAAAAGCGAATGACAGCTTTCTTTGAAAGTTATGTGTCATGGAACAATAATTTAGGTTTATCTCTATTTAATTTGTCGGGTGTATAAGTTCATAAATTTTTGAATTAAGTGTGACCGTTTATGTTTGAGTTCAAATTTTGTGGGTCCACTGATAACAATATCTATTAAATAATACTTATTATTATTGAAAGGAACCTATGACTTTTTTTTGAATTATATGTCACGAAACAATAATTTAGGTTTCTCTCATATTTTCTTATGTATCAGTCCATTAATTTTTTAGAATGTGTAACATACTATGATTGAGTTCAAATTTTATAAGTTCATTGGTAACTACCTATTGAATGATATCATTGTTTTTGAAAAGGGGAAGCCTCTTTTTTGGAGTTTATTTGTATGAAGAAACATAATTTCAAAATTATTCAATTTTCGTTTGTATTAGTTTATGATTTTTTAATGAATATGTGTTCAACTTTGTTTGAACTCAAATTTTATGGGTCCATTGGTGTCGATCTATATATTGTATGATACTCATTGATTTTGTAAGGTGCACGCCACCTTTTGATGAGAGTTTATATGTCACGAAATAAGAATTTAGCATCATCTATTTATTTTTTTGTATTAGTTCATTACTTTTCTGAAATATGCATGTGTGACCGACTTAGATTAATCTCAAGTTTTAAGGGTCGATCTATTGACTATTATTGACGGCCTATTAAATGATATCCATTATTTTTTATAACTGTATGCCACACCTTTTAGATTTCATGTATGTGTTACTAAACAAGAATTAGGATCATCTTGGTGTTTTGTGTGTATTAGTTCTTAAATTTCTAAAATATGTGTGACTGACTCAAATTTTATGAGTCTATTGATGGCAACTTATTGAATGATACTTATTATTCCCTTTTTTAAAGTACGACACTTTTATAGAGTTTATTTGTATCATTAGATATGAAGTCAAAAATTTTATAATTTTTTATGTGTATTAGTTTATACATTTTTTGAATTATGTGTGACTAACATAGTTTGTACACAAATTTTGTGATTTAATTTGTGACGACCAATTAAAGGATAGTTATTGTTTTCGAAAGGCCAAAGTCCTTTTCCTGGAGTTGATGGTTCAAAAATTTGACAAAATGACATCAAAATGGTTAGCTTTTTCTCTTACTTTCTTCTCAACTTGTAAAAGTTGAAAACACCACATGTGCACACAAATCTTGATGATAAAACAAGTCAGCATGAGATTAGCTTACTGTAATTGACCAAACAGCCAAAAGAAGAAATTTTAAAACCTTTACAGCAAATTAAGAAAGATCCAATCTTTTACTATTACTAGTAAATGGGCCCGCGCTTCGCGCGGTTAAAACATTCTTCTTAAAAATTTATTAGAATAGAATTTTTTTTTGTATTTTGATGTTACAGTATTTTTATATTAATTTATTTAAAGAGTACAGTGGTTATTCAATTATAGTTTACCATTTGTTTTATTAAAAGAAAAGTCAAAAGTACAAAACATAACATTATTTTCTCCTAGTTTACATAATTTCATTTTATAGATTCATTAATTTGTTTTTGAAATTTTATAATGGTTAGTTTATTTTTATCATCTATATGAATGGTTACATAGTGTCTTTTATTAGAGAGTCAAATAAATATTTTTCTCAATTTTCTTCTTTGCAAATTTCGTTAGTATAACACTATCAATTACTTTCAAAATATTAAATATTTTTTTAATAAATATATATATATGTATATATATAAAACTAATGTGTTTATCAAGAGCAAAGGTTCCATAATCATATGATATACCAATAAGTAATATGTAGTCATTATGTGTTTTAAAATTAAAATGCAATCTTTCAAATCCAAATTTCATATGTAATAGATTTATGATAGTTTTTTGGAATTGAAGTTGTGCACAAACAAAACATTAAGGATTCTTGAAAAGGATGAAAGAGAAGTAAGAGATAATGGGAAAAAAATTCAAAAAAGTACTTTGGTGTGAGAGAATAGTCATCATTGTGTATCATATAATTGTAATTAATTGCTAGTTTTAATTCTATCATTTGACTTTCTAATTTTTTTTACTCCTATTAATATTAACATTATTATGACAACAACAAAAAACATATAATTTTTTAGGCTTGATTTCTTGGAGAAGAAAAGATTTCTTTGGAGAATGTTATAAATAAATGTATTCTGTAAAAAGTTATTTATGAATCTGCAGTAGTTGAATTTACATAGAGTCTGTACTAACAAATACTTACAACAATAACTTTACAGAAACATAAACAACAAAGTTTAAAACATTTACTCAAAAACAATAATTAATATCATAAGCATAAATTAATGACTGTAAAAAAACATATCAGTATATGTAACAATAGAATGAAACAGAAAGGAAAAATCGAGCCCGCTGAATGCACAATGTCTCCTTAAGAAAATCATTTCCTCTAGTACCCGAGGTTTAAAGAAATAAATCCTCTCAGGATGAAACGAGTTTATTCACCAGTGTAATGATACAAAAACAATAGTGTCAGTGAGCCACTCAACATGAGCAAAGTACACAAATATTTAATTGTGCAGAGAAAGAAGAAGAAGTTCAAAATCAAATATTTAATTGTGCAAAAGAAGAAGAAGAGAAGGTTCAAAATTTTCGTAGTTTTAAAATTTAAAATGAGAGGAAATCCCTCTATTTATAGACAACAAAGGGTAGTGTGAACAAATGTTTATTGTGCCTTACCGGAAATGTCACAACTCTTTGGAAATGTCACAATTCTTCGGAAAGGTCACAACCTTTCATAAATATTAAAACCTTTCATAAAAGTCGCAACTATTCATAAAAGTCACAACTTTTCAATAAAAATCATAATTTTTCATAAAAGTCATAACTTTTAATAAAAGTCACAACTTTTCATGAAAGGAAAAGGTTAATTTTAGAAATAAATAAATTAAAAGGAAATCCTTGTTTGTGGTGGCGCCACGTAGGCGGGCATATGATTCTCTTTTATATATATACTAGGCAAATTACCCGTGCTTCGCACGGGATTGAACTATTTTACTAAGCTTGCATATGGTCATTCGGCAATATTCGTATTTTCGATACATACACTACATTGTCAAGAACATTTTATCTTAAGGTAAAACATTCTTCTGAAATCTTAAAGTGCAATATTTTATTTAATTTTTGTTTTTGTTATACAAAAATTATGAGTCATAGAGAGATTTTAAGTATAAGAAAGAAGTCTAAGAAAATCTCCATGGAAATAGTTGGTCAAAAGTAATGAAATTTTATAAATTCTAAGAAGTTATAAAGAACAACATCGGACATTAAAGAAGAGACCAAAAAGCCTCGAACAACAACACTCTCAAGTATAGTGGAACATCACGTCCTTACAAGAACATAATTAACTAAATTCAAATGGAGACCTTTGACTCCTTTCATATGAACCTCCATCAATCTCTTTTTTATTATAGTATGTTGTATTATGTATATGTTAAAAATGACCATAAAATTATGAGTATCATAAACGTTTTTCCTCATTGTCTCAGAATAGTCATTACTATTGGTAGGATTGAGAAGTGAAGAAATAGGGGAAAAACTTTTACTTGGAGAGTCTTGGAAGGAACTGATAATAAACCAAGTTTTTTTTATGAGTTTTTTTTTTTGAGCCTTTGTATCTGTGTTTTTCTTCATTATCTGCTGGAAAAAAATCAGTAATTTTCTTCAATAGAGACGATAATATGTATACCTCAATCCATACAAAATGTTTGTACCTAAGAAAAAACAATCAAAATAATATACTAACTGTGGCAAGCAAGAGATCAATTTGTTTGGTTCTTTTAACAAACATCATCATTGGTTCCATATTAGTAATCACATATTTATTGTTGTATGCTATCAAATATAACACAATCCACAAGCAATTTACCCAAAAAGTGTATGAAGAAACCTATAAAAAGGGACAAAAGAGAAGATAAATTTTCAATCATTCTCACTGGAATTTTTAACAGAGTTAAAAAAAAAAGTTACAAAAATAGCAAAAAGAATTTGCAAGGGATACATGAATCACTATAACTTACGGTAAAAGATTAAGCTTCATAAAATAGGAGGAAGAAAGCTTTGAGAAATGGAACACACTTCATAAGAAACTTAATAAATGTATATGTAGTTGACTGCCTTATTGAAAAAAAAATCTACAAATAATAGTGACAGAAATAAAAGATTTGTTTACTAAAGAACCAAATGTAATGAATTCAACCATTTCAGAAGCGTTATGAGTTGTGGGCGGAGAGGTCCAAGAGTAGTAATGTCGCATTGCAATAAAAATCAATTTTCATTGTTTATATGAAGAAACCTATAGAAAGGGACAAAAGAGAAGATCAATTTTCAATCATCCTTGCTGAAATTTTTTAACAGAGGTAAAAGAAAGTCACCAAGATAGAAAAAAGGAATTGCCATTGTTACATGAATCACTATGACTTATAGTAAAGATTAAACTCCATGAAATTGGAGGAAGAAAACTTTGAAACAAATTTCATAAGAAGTTTAATTAATGAATTTGAATTTGACTACCCTATAGCGGAAAAAAAAAACCCTACAAATAATAGTGACAGGAAATCCCTCCACAACTCATTGGAAAAGTTACAACTCTTCAGAAATGTTACAACGTTTCATAAAAGTCATATCTTTTTCATAAAAGTCACTACTTTTCATACAAGTTACCAACTTTTCATAAAAGTCACTACTTTTCATTAAAGTCACAACTTTTCATGAAAGGGGAAGACTAGTTTTGTAAATAAATAAATTAAAAGGAAATTCTGGTTTGTGGTGGCGCCACGTAGACGGGCATAGGGTTCTCTTTTATATATATGATATGATATGATATATGATATATATATATATATATATATGATGTTAACGGTGGTGTTCAGGTCAACTTGTGCATACTCTAACTACTCCAGAATTCATCAAGTAATTTTTTACCAACATATACAGTAACATCATTTTTTGACGAAGGGTATTTAACCAGCCACCATTCGATATATGTGGCTCTCCCACTGCTACTTACCTCAAACCAACACAAGTATTGAATAATTTTGTCCGCCATAAGATAGGCGAATAGAAAAACAACATTCCCTAACTCGGTGGAAATGTGGCAAGTGTTCCCATGAGTTCAACAGTGTGCTCATTTGAAGGGAAGCCAAAAAGACTACTGTCTCTATCTGCTAGCCAAGACTATGTTTCATCTGCAACTTCAAAACACTTATCTAAAATAAAGCAAAGTTAGTATTTCCGATCCACCGTCTTTTGATGAAGAATCAACTCAATATCCTTGAAGAAGATATCATTAAGATTGAATATTCGTAAGATGAACAAACTTGGAGAGAGGATGGACTGTCTTGCACAAGGCATCCGCGAGCATGGTAAGTAAGCACTCACATAGTATTTGAAGTTGGAAAATTGAAAAAGAATATTTTGCCTTAGTTGAAGTTTTGTGGTTGAATACCAAATACTCCTCAAACAAAATTTTCACGTGTTATTGCATAATACTGATAAACCTCAACTTGTAAATAATGCCTTCAGTATTACGAATTGAAGTTGTGGCCAAACACAATCGTAAGCCTAAAGAATACAGAGAAGTTAGTCATGAAGTCCCACAATTCATGCAAGAATCACAATTTACATGTATATATGATAGAATGAATCAATTCTAAAGTCATTAATGTCTCAACTTCCATGGTGCAGTGAGCATTAGCCCGAAGCTAACGGAAACTGTGAAGGGAAAATTGAGCCTCGGAGCGAAAATTCTTCAAGTTGGAGAAGATATTCAAGCAGAAGTTTAGTGTTAGAAATGATGAAAAGTTATTAAAGGTTTCTCAATCCTATTTTATCTCTACAGCTGTTCTAATAGCAGGCCTTCTCTTCATCTCTACCGATAAGATTGCTTTCTGCAGTGAGATCAATAAAGCTCATATCTCCAACAAGAAAGTTGCTTAGAATCTACTACAAGGTACCACTCTGTTCCATTTTTCCTTCAACTCTTAATTTTCTAGCCACGTAAAGCATAATCTAATAGGCCGGTTCACAATTGCAGGTATCGATCCCAATAAGTAAGATAATGAAAGCAAAAGAAAGTGAAAATAGGGAAAAGCCACCACAGAAGACGATTTTGAGTTCTGGTTTATGGGATTCCTTAAGTATATACAAGTACTTACAGAAGAAGATAATTTTTTCTTTTTTTATTTCATTTTGTTTCCTAATAAGCCCATTCATCAATGTAATATGCTGATTCAAAAATGAATGTACAGATCTTTTTGAACTTGTAATTAGCTCCATTGCTCAAAGGAGGCTTTAGGCTTTGAGCTGTAGCTGTCAACACAAATGTATAAACTTATTGTATAACTAATGCAGTCAGAAGGCTAATTCACCTTCTGGGACTTGACATAGTCATCACTTCCTAAGTGAACATTTGAGTAGCAGATCGCAATGCTCCTCGAGAGACACATTTAAAATATTATGCTAAGGTTCAAACAAAGGGAGCTCCTCTTCATTTTCCTTTTCACCTGGAGAAACATTTAGGCAAAATTTGCATAATTAATACCAAGTCTAGCCCAAGTTCTGCTTGAGAATCTCTCTGTAAAATATAATACCTTTGTCAATTCAAAATATTTATTGGAAACAGTCACCCTACCTCACACAAGGTAGGAGTAAGGTCTGCGTACACCCCAACCTCCCCAGACCCCACAGGTGGGATCACACCGGGTATGTTAACGTTGTTGTTGTAATTCATCAGAATATATAAGAGGGCGTTGATCAATTCAATTACGCCATTGGAAAAGCACTTAGCATCTAACCCTTCGCACCAATTGAAACTCAAGGAGATTTCCATCTTCAGCTAAAGTATTCGGCTGAACATTGGAACAGTAACGAGAAAAATACTCGACTACTCTACATGCATGAACTTAACATGCTTAAGCCTCTTTTATCCATCCCCTTCATATCATCTCCATAGCATATTCACACCGCTCATAAGTTATAAAGAGCGTCTTCACCGTTCGGTACTGTCAAATATCTCCAATTGCCTCAATAGTTCAAATCTCAAGTCGGAAATGAAGTTTTGGCTGGATAGGAAATCCAACCGAAAATCTAAGATTTGAGAGTTAGATCATGTGTTATTATATTAGGTGTAGCTTCAATCAAGTTAAAATGACTTACCTTGACGACGGGAAGAAATGAGGGAGATACATCTTCTTGCACAGAGAATCTAGAGAAGTGAAAAAAAATTATAGTTGTGTATCTGAGATACCTGTGTTGCAACCGCAGGCCTTGTGCAGCAATCGCAACACTAAAGATTTGATAGCCAAGGAAGAAAGTTGTGATTGCGGTCCTTGTACCCGTGTAAAGAAGATCAAGTTGTCCCTTGCGAAAAGCTTGATGCACTATCTCCCTTCAACCCTTTGAGCGAATGCAGCAAAAGAAAAGGAAGGAATATCCATAGATCAACCCCATCATCTCCACCGTGTAGGAACTATGAGATCACCCAAAGACACTTTCGGCATCCAGGGGTCACGGACCGACCATAGAACTGATTTAAATAAGTGGAACGCATTAACTGTCCACTCTCAGGTTGGGCAGTCAGGGTCGGAGAAGGGTAATGACTCATTCATAAAACCAGTGTTCTTAAGACCAAAGAGTTGGGTGGAAAGGCAGAAGAAGATGTCATTCATTTGATGAGAAATAAAAAGGAATACCAGAAACTCTCAATGTCAATGTCGACCCAGCAGCCTTCGCCGTTGGTTAGCACTATAAGCACAATGAATTCCTTTACACCTCAAGATAAGATGACAAAAAAGGTAAGATAAGGTAACTGCCTTATAAGAGAAGCTAATATAATCTAGAACTGTTGGCCCTATGTAACAGATTGAAATATTTGAATGGATCCTCTTTTTCCTTTGCCTGATTTATTAAGCAACAAATCAACGTTCATGGATGACTCATTCATGACCCACAACCACCACTTAACTGTAATGTCATATATAAATCCGTGTCATTATCTTGTCAACCTTAGTCATACAAGACTAATAATTTTACTATGCACCAACAGCCTTCTCTTACTTTTACTCAACTTGTAAAAGCAACTTACATCATAAAGCAAATCTTCCAAACTCAAAAGTTGACAACACCACATGTGCACACAAATCTTGATAATAAAATAAGACAGCATGAGATAGTTTACTGTAATTAAAAAGACAGATAAAAAAAGACATTTTAAATTGAGAAATATTCTACTTTGATGACCCTAGCTGACTCATGCACCACTAGTAGTTAAAAGATTCATCAACTTGTCCCAAACTGCTGTGTATATATATAGTGCTGCAAGGAATGTTCTTAAACAATCAACCAAAAACATAATAATATCTCAGTTACCTTCACAATATAGCAAATCTCTTCACAATCAGAAGTCACAATGAAGAACTTCCTCAGTGGAAATGAGGTTGGTGTTCCCATGAGTTCAGCAGTATGCTCATTTGAACGGCAGCAAAAAAGACTACTGTCTCTATCTGCCTGCCAAGACCATCTTTCATCTGCAACTTCAAAACACTTGCCTAAAAAAAAGCAAAGTGAGTATTTTCCCTCGAAGAATAATCGACTTGTTCTTTTATTAGTTATAAAGAGTATTAATGACCCTCTAAGAAGAGATCATTAAAATTAAATATTCTTGAATATGCAGGAAAATCTCTAATTAGTAAGATGGACAAACTTGGAGAAAGGTTGGACTGTCTTGCATAAGGCATCCGCGAGCATGGTGAGCACTTATATTTATTTAAGTTAAAAACTAGTATTTCGAAGTTGAAATTGTGTGCGGACATGAGTTTACTTAGAAAAGACAAAGTTGAAGTATTGTGAATGAAAACCATCACCTCACAAGAAAAATTCCTAAAACAAGTTCTTAAATAGTTTAATGACTATTTCAAATACTGAAGTTCAATATTTATAAATATGGCGCCAAACATCAACTTGCAAATAATGACATCAGTTTTTGCAAGACAAATCATGGCAATACACTAGTGTAAATCTAATGAATAACAGATAAAGGGAGTCAAGATATACAAAATTTTGTGCAATAAGCACTAATACATGTATGAAAGAAAGTTCTGATGTGAAGCCCTTAATGTTTCAACTTTAATTGTGCAGTGAGCCTTAGTCCGAAGCTAACGGACACTGTGAAGGGAAAATTGAGCCTTGGAGCAAAAATTCTTCAAGTAGGAGGGTTGGAGAAAATATTCAAGCAGAAGTTTAGAGTTAAAGATGATGAAGAGCTATTGAATGTTTCTCAATGCTATTTATCAACGACAGCTGGTCCAATAGCAGGCCTTCTCTTCATCTCTACCGATAAGATTGCTTTCTGCAGTGAGAGATCAATAAAGCTCTTATCTCCAACTGGAAAGTTGCTTAGAATCTACTATAAGGTACCACTCTGCTCCGTTTTTCTTCTAACTCTTAATTTTGTATCCACGTAAAGCATAATCTAATAAGCCGGTTCACAATTGCAGGTATCGATCCCAATAAGTAAGACAATGAAAGCAAAAGAGAGTGAAAATAGGGAAAAGCCATCACAGAAGTATATAGAAATAATTACAGAGGATGATTTTGAGTTCTGGTTTATGGGATTCCTTAATCATCAAAGGACTCTGAGATATCTGCACCAGGCAATTTCAAGTACTTCAAGCAGCTAAGAAGACAACATATTTTCCATTCTCTTTTCTTTTTTTTTTTCTTTTTTTTTCTTCTTACTTGCATTCATCAATATAAAATGTTGATGCAAAACGAATGTACAGATCTGTTCAAACTTGTAGTTAGCTCCTTCGCTCAAAGGAGATTTTCGGTGTTTTAGGCTTTGAGCTGTTAACACAAATGTATAGACTTATTGTGAAAGTAATGCAGTCAGAAGGCTAATTCATCTTTTGGGACTTCGCATCATGATCACTTCCTAGCAAATCGCACTGTTTCTCGAAAGACATATTAAGATATTATGGAAAGTTTCCAACAAGGGGAGCCCCCTTGATATTTTTCACCTCAAGAATTTCTTAGGTAGAATTCGCATAATTAATACTGTGAGGATTGAGCTGTCAAAAGAGATTATCCAAATGCTCTTGGATGGGTAGTCGAATTGGGGGATAAATATGTTTTTCTCCTTTATATAGAATCTAATCAATCTCTTAAAGTCTAATCAATCTCTTAGAGATCATGAGAACCTTGTGATTTGATATAATTTATTTATTTATTTTTATCTGGTAAAATTTTTCATTATTAACAAGGCCAAAAAGGCCATATACAAGAGGTATACCTACCAGTGAAGGACCTACACAAAGATATGGTTCTATACAAAAGACACCCAATGCTCTATACAGCCCGTAACTACATGGGTGCAAAAAAAAAAACAAATAAGGGATCGGAGACTACTCCTCAACAGCCAAAAACTCGATTAATGCCGTAGGAACAACATTCTATGCCCTGCACTTTCTCCTGCTTCTTCCAGATTTCCAGTAAAACAACAAATCTTTCACAATTCTTGGAATTGCCCATGACATTACAAACCAGCTGAACATGTCCCACCACAGTCTCGTGGCGTAGCTACAATGTAGCAGAAGATGATTTACGTCTTCGCCCGCCTCCTTGCATAAGTAATACCAGCTGATGCAAATAACTTTTGTTTTCCTAAGGCTCTTCGACGTCAAGATCACCCCTCTAGCAGCTAACAAAGTGAAAAAGCACACCTTCCTCGGAACCTTGGGAATCCGAATAGACTTAACAGGAAAACCCTCCTCAACTCTCAATAAAAGCTTCTAATAGAAGGCTTGACAGAAAAAACACCATCGTTTCCCAACTTTCATCTCGTCGGATGGGGCCTGTCAACTGCCTCGCAATGCTGATGCAGTAACAGTAACATCCTTTCAAACTCATTCACCTCCCAATACTGGAAAGCTCTCCTGAACCTCAAATCCTAAAACGCTACTTCCCCTTGTGTCCCCAGGGACATCTGTTGGACTACCACTCCCCGCTAAAAACTTTCCCGACAGTCACTCAAGCACTTTCACACAACAAGAAAGCAAAGTGTATCATATCTCGTACCATCCGAATAGGTTTCAAAGCAATCAGTACAGCGCAACAGAGGTGCCCTTTCAGTATTGTCTTTGTTTGTGAATATTAATGTGTCCTATCTTCATGTTATATTATTCCCATTGATTGTGATCAAACTGCGTTCCGAGTGTCTTTATAGAGAAGAGAAAAATCTTCCCTTCAGATAGTCAGGGATAAACCGCTCTACAGAACAGGGGAGAGGAAGGGAAGTAAAAAACCCCGATAAGATTAAGCAATCAGCCGCTGTCACTGACAGGGACACAGATCGGATGGTGGAGTACTATTCTACCACAATGAGACAGGCATCATCGAATCAAAGGCCGAATAGAAAGCATTCCCCCCAGTTGAGAGGCTCCATTTGACAAGATATCCCATAAAAGCTCGGAAACTCATCTTTAAGCCACATGTCTCCCACTTTTCTTACCCGAGTCAGGGCTCTATTATACATGTCCTCCATTGTCTTAATGTAAGCCCCCAAGACACCTTTAGCCTCCCGACATCTACATAGGACTTCCCTTGGGACCATATGTAAGTCCCTCTTCCATTCCTAAACTTCTCCTCCCTGTAGTTATCTCACAAGATGAATGGCTTCTGAGTAAGTTGGTAATATGTGAAGGGATTAAATTGAACACACATCTGTTTGTAACAGAGAAAGACTTCCCTGAAAAGTAAGCGTAAGATAGCTTGCAATATACTAGGCACTCTTTCTTTTTCAATGTTTTTCCCTATTTTCCTAACAGAAAATACAATCACTTTTTGTTCTTAAATTACCTTCTAAAAATACTTGGCATTTCTCTCATGATTTTTCAAAAGCAAAAGTTGGTCAAGAAGATTACTCAAAAACTATAATATCATTTGTCATGCATGTATGGTATGTTCCACATAAAGTCAGAAATGGCCTACAAATCCTGCCTTTACACGTCAAGATGAGATGATAAAAAGGGCAAGATAAGGTAACTGCCTTTTAAGAGAAGCTAATATAATCTAGAACTGTTGGCCCTATGTAACAGATTGAAATATTTGAATGGATCCTCTTTTTCCTTTGCCTGATTTATTAAGCAACAAATCAACGTTCATGGATGACTCATTCATGACCCACAACCACCACTTAACTGTAATGTCATATATAAATCCGTGTCATTATCTTGTCAACCTTAGTCATACAAGACTAATAATTTTACTATGCACCAACAGCCTTCTCTTACTTTTACTCAACTTGTAAAAGCAGCTTACATCATAAAGAAAATCTTCCAACTCAAAAGTTGACAATACCACATGTGCACACAAATCTTGATAATAAACTAAGACAGCATGAGATAGTTTACTGTAATTAAAAAGACAGATAAAAGAAGACATTTTAAATTGAGAAATATTCTACTTTGATGACCCTAGCTGACTCATGCACCACTAGTAGTTAAAAGATTCATCAACTTGTCCCAAACTGCTGTGTATATATATAGTGCTGCAAGGAATGTTCTTAAACCATCAACAAAAACATAATAATATCTCAGTTACCTTCACAATATAGCAAATCTCTTCAAAATCAGAAGTCACAATGAAGAACTTTCTCAGTGGAAATGAGGTTGGTGTTCCCATGAGTTCAGCAGTATGCTCATTTGAACGGCAGCAAAAAAGATTACTGTCTCTCTCTGCCTGCCAAGACCATCTTTCATCTGCAACTTCAAAACACTTTCCTAAAATAAAGAAAAGTGAGTATTTTCCCTCGAAGAATAATCAACTTGTTCTTTTATAAGTTATAAAGAGTATTAATGAACCTCTAAGAATAGATCATTAAAATTAAATATTCTTGAATATGCAGGAAAATCTGTAATTAGTAAGATGAACAAACTTGGAGAAAGGATGGACTGTCTTGCACAAGGCATCCGCGAGCATGGTGAGCACTTATATTTATTGAAGTTAAAAACTAGTATTTCGAAGTTGAAATTGTGTGCAGACATGAGTTTACTTAGAAACGACAAAGTTGAAGTATTGTGATTGAAAACAATCATCTCACTAGAAAAATTCCTAAAATAAGTTTTAAAATAATTTTATGACTATTTCAAACACTGATATTCAATATTTATAAATATGGCGCCAAACATCAACTTGCAAATAATGACAACAGTTTTTGCAAGTCAATAATGGCAATACATAAGTGTAAGTCTCATGACAACAGATAAAGGGAGTCAAGATGTACAAAATTTTGTGCAATAAGCACTATTTACATGCATGACAGAAAGTACTGGTGTGAAGTCCTTAATATTTCAACTTTAAATGTGCAGTGAGCCTTAGCCCGAAGCTAACGGAAACTGTGAAGGGAAAATTGAGCCTTGGAGCAAAAATTCTTCAAGTAGGAGGGTTGGAGAAAATATTCAAGCAGAAGTTTAGAGTTAAAGATGATGAAGAGCTATTGAATGTTTCTCAATGCTATTTATCAACGACAGATGGTCCAATAGCAGGCCTCCTCTTCATCTCTACCGATAAGATTGCTTTCTGCAGTGAGAGATTAATAAAGTTCTTATCTCCAACTGGAAAGTTGCTTAGAATCTACTATAAGGTACCACTTTTCTCGTTTTTTCTTCCGACTCTTAAATTTGTATCCACGTAAAGCATAATCTAATAAGCCGGTTCACAATTGCAGGTATCGATCCCAATAAGTAAGACAATGAAAGCAAAAGAGAGTGAAAATAGGGAAAAACCATCACAGAAGTATATACAAGTAATTACAGAGGATGATTTTGAGTTCTGGTTTATGGGATTCCTTAATCATCAAAAGACTCTGAGATATCTGCACCACGCAATTTCAAGTACTTCAAGCAGCTAACATGACAACATATTTTCCATTCTTTTTTCTTTTTTTTTCTTTTTTTTTCTTCTTACTTGCATTCATCAATATAAAATGTTGATGCAAAACGAATGTACAGATCTGTTCAAACTTGTAGTTAGCTCCTTCGCTCAAAGGAGATTTTAGGTGTTTTAGGCTTTGAGCTGTTAACACAAATGTATAGACTTATTGTGAAAGTAATGCAGTCAGAAGGTTAATTCATCTTTTGGGACTTCGCATCGTGATCACTTCCTAGCAAATCGCACTGTTCCTCGAAAGACATATTTAAGATATTATGGAAAGTTTCCAACAAGGGGAGCCCCCTTGATATTTTTCATCTCAAGAATTTCTTAGGCAGAATTTGCATAATTAATACTGTGAGGATTGAGCTGTCAAAAGAGATTATCCAAATGCTCTTGGATGGGTAGTCGAATTGGGGGATAAATCTTTTTTTTTCCTTTATATAGAATCTAATCAATCTCTTACAGATCATGAGAACCTTGTGATTTGATATAATTTTATTTTTTTTATCCGGTAAATATTTTCATTATTAACAAGGCCAAAAAAGGCCATATACAAGAGGTATACCTACCAGTAAAGGACCTACACAAAGATATGGTTCTATACAAAAGACGCCCAATCCTCTATACAACCCGTAACTACATGGGTGCAAAAAAAAAACAAATAAGGGATCGGAGACTACTGTTAGGGTTTTGTCCTGATTTTCTTACCATAACTTAAGATTTATTTTTCCTTAAAAAAAAGACAAAA